AAAAAAAAACTAAAACACTGAGAGCACTCCTTAAATTTGATCCTGTTTAGTTCCATTACTCAATATATTTTTGATAAAATAGCAAATTTGCTAAATAAAATATTAAAATTTTAGATTCACAAGCTTTTATCCTAATTTTAAACTTTAAAATATGAGTACGAATTAAAAGTGATTAAACTTCGTGGTCCTATTTATTTATTACATACCTTCGCAAGTACATATATGTATACTGAACTTCTTTAAACTTACAAGACTTTAGAACTTGTAATGCTGGAAAAATTTATAGCTTCTTCATTTATGCCATAGTAATAAAATATATTTGTATATTTGAAATTCAATTTATAAAAAATTGGCTTTAGATCAAAATTGAAGATCTTCAAGTAAATGCAAAATGTTAAACAAAATAAAAGTTAATTATAATTTTAAAGACTTAAAACTAAAATTTTTATTAGCTATCGGCTATCTGTTCATAAATCAATTGGAAAATCAAGTTATTATTCATAAATTATTTTTAACTGAATTTTTTTCACTGAAAATTAAATTGAATGCCAGTATAAGTTTTCCATTACATTGTTATTTTAACATTTAAATATTTAAGTAAAAATTTTGGCATGTAATTATTTTTATTTGTGCTCACATCTTCTTATAATTTCTTCACACAGAACTATTGTGGGCTTCCAAATGACCATCATTGATCATATCTGCATCAGAGAAAGTCAGATAGCTTAAAGTTTAACAACATAAACTGATTACATATAAAGACATAAAAGACTTGTAAAACACGATCGTATATCAAAATACAAAAAAAAATAAAAAAAGAAATAAAGAAAAATAATTTTTTTTTACCCAGAAGCAATAAAATAAAATTTATGTTTTAATAACGTTATAAAGATGCAATTTGAACAATAAAATGTATTTGAAAATTTCATGTTTTCATGTTTCTTGAACTTGAATTTCATGACAAATAAATTTGGAAATAATAAAAAAAAATTTAAATCGATTTAATCTATGCAATTAAATTAAATGAAACATAAATCAGTTTGATAGCTTTATGACATTAATCAATTAAATGTCTTAACACTTGTAAGTTTACCGCTATTCTTTGTCGTTCATGGTTTGGTATTTAAATTTTATATTACAATAATATGCAATTATATGTGAAATCAATCATTATTTCAATGAAATATGAGTTTGATGACCTTTTATTTACGAAAAGAATGAGGATTTGGATCAATTCATTTGAATTTAATTAACAAATTTTGTGTTAAAGACCATTACATTGTGGAAATGATGGTTAATAGTTAAATTACGGTAATAAATTGTATATAGCATAAATTGAAATGGGATCTTTTATAATGTTTCTGAAATTGTTTCAATGAACTTGTATTTTAGTTCTGTGATTTTTTATTTTTTTCAATTTGTCATTCTTATATTTCCCATTTCCCAAAAAAGAAACGAATTTAAACATGTTACTTTAGTCTTAGTCATTCTAACTCTTCTTATATTCTCCTTAAGAACCCAATGGTCTCCATTTAATAAATTTTACTAAATAGCTATTGTTTTGTTATATAAATTTTAGTTTAATTAAATTTCAGATTATAATTTTTCTATTTCTATTTTCCAGAAATTTTAATTATTTAATCAAATTAAAATAGCTGGGCAAAATTAATTGAGCAAAAGTTTTCAGTCAAGTTTAAATATAATTTAAAAAAAATGGAAAAAAAAATTAATAATTTGCACCAAACTTTAACATTAAACTTGCCTTAGTTCGAAAATATTATTCTGTTAGTGGCAATTAAAAGTGCAAAGTAATAACTTGTTAAAAAAAAAAATTGCATATATTTAGGAGAAGCAATGAAATTTTAATATCGTTGCTTTATTTTTTCATTACTAATACGATGTTATTATTAATCGTAATTAATAATATGTAAATGTGTAGCATAACATGATTTATAAACTATTAAAATGATTATGATTAAAATTAATGACAGATTAAAATGTATGGGAGAACGTTTATAACATTGTTAAACTTTATACCCTACCATACATTGCATTTCTTGATTTTAACGTTTATTTTTTCTAACATATTTATTTAGTAATAAGTGATCGTACAATAAAATAATTTTATTCTTTATAAATAATATTTACTAATTTTATTTTTGAATTTTAATAATTTTATTATTAAAGACAAGAAAGATTCGGGCAGAATACAATTAATTATACAATTTCAATACCTTTGAAATTAATATATTCAAATCATTTTAAAATTGAATCCTTAATTTAATAAATCACTAAAAAAATTTATTTTTCACAAAAATTATTTTTGACAGCCATAATATTGTCGGTTAAAAGGCAGAAAGCACTAAATGCATTTTTTGAGAATTCGAAATAATAATGAATTAAATCAGAATAATATAATCTTTGTTGTAACAAAAAATCATACAAATCCAGAATATAGTTTATAAATTCAGAAATTAAAGAGACCAATCCCATTGCACTAATTGATTAGTTTTACAATTTTTTGAGTAAATTCAATTCAAATTGAATTTACTCAAAACACAGTTTCCTGACTTAATGCTTTCTGCTTCTTAACCGACGATATGCACTTTATTATTGTACCAAAAAATATAGTGTCGAGCATAAATGCATGCCTTTGCCACATTTCTATAAAATAACTATTAAAAGCGGGTATATTTAGGCACTTGTGTTGTTTACTCTTTCATATTTGTGATTGATCTATATTTTAAGCAAATGTAAATTTAGATTATTTTAAATATAAATAACAATTATTCAATATTCAGTAAATATCATGAAAAATGCATTCGTGTACGTTTTTATGAAATATCTACGAAAACTTCAACATTCTCCTTTATCAAAGTTACAAATTATTTGTTGTAGGAAGTTAATTTTAAACATATTTTAGTGTATACCCCTTCGTCTTTGGAATCCCAAATATAGTATAAATATTATTTATTATAAAATTTATTTATCTAAAAGAGTAACATAAGCAGTTGAGGTTAATAAATATATTGTTTATTAATACTGTAGCATGAGATATTTGTGATATAATATACATACATATATAAGGTATTTTAAGTCTTGTTGGAAAAATAATTATAGGTTGTATAATAATTTAAATTTTTATTTATTTTTTCATGTAAGAAGCTAGTGTTAATGTTATTGTATACGCGCATGTGGAACTTGCTGAGTTTTGTGTTTTAATATTCAATTTTAATTGGATTTTTATATTATATGCAAACGTTCGAACTTAATCACATACTTATGATCTCAGAATAATCTCTACTGAATAATAAAAGAAGATTTTTACAACGTATAATACAATTTACCATAATGTTCATTGTTTGGAAACGTACAAGATTGCGAATTATTTGAAAATTATTTATAAAACTTTTTCCTTCCCATTCAAGGTGTAAGTTTCTTGGTTTTCGTCACATTTAATCTAACCGGAATTTCAATAAAATTTATGTATTCAATTATAAGATTTTAAATTACAAGTCTTTCACTATTTAGGGAAGATCACTTCATCGCAAACGTTTAAATTATAAATAAATATTTTTAATTTTTACATAAAATATTTATTTAATACAAAAGCTCTTCATTAATATCCCAATATAGACCTAAGTTGTATTTCATTTTTGTTATCAATTAGAACAAATTTGTTAGTTCAATAACCGTTCTACTTTCTGTTATGATAGGATGAGAGAAACGCTATAGCCATAATGTGGGAAAAGTTTAATAGGTCGTTTATTTATTTTAGTTGATTAAATGTTTATATTTAAAATCTTAAATTTATTTCTATGTATTATTCGTAATATGTAAGAATTATATGTATAGTACATGTTATTTCTATTATTATAAATATTTGAAGATAATGTTAATAACCCGAAAAGAAAGTCCACAAAAATGACGAATTCTTGATAATATAAGTTGAAAAAGAATTCTTAATGGAAATCTTTAAATTTTGATAATTTAGTTATGTAAATTATTGCGAATATTATTGAAATTCAAAAACTTTGTAATAAATAACGAATAAGTTAGCTTTTAACTTAGCTATCTATGCTTAGACTTTGTCGGAAATTTTGGAGTTACTTTGAAAAGTAAGTAAATATTAATTAGTTAGTTGTTGTAGTTCTATAATTAATAATATAAAGTTAAATGCTGAAATTTGTGTGAAATTAAGATGAAATTGAAATTTTCGGAGAAATAATTTTGTAATTTGTAAAAAATACATATGTATACTGTAATAAATACCATGCCTATATTCCCCTCAATTTGTTTTATTTTATGTTCAATAGGCAACTGCATTCTCATATAAAAGGTGATTGAGTTATATTATCGACGTAACATATACCATCTTTTTGGACATCAAAAATGAACAAAATTTGTGTTCAGAACTAGGTGTCAAATCTCAATGGTTTCCAAGGTACAGGGATTTTAAAGAATTTTCACGAAATTTCTATTTCCACAAGATTTTTGCTTATAACTTCTATTGCAGAAAAGGTAGAAGCTTTAAATAAACAGGACCAGTGCAGAGCTTGAAAGCGACATTTTACTCTATTCGTGCATTTTTGATACCCTGATGATGGTACATGTTATGTTACTGATTACTGAATCAGCCTCTATACGTATACTAAAATTCAAAGGATTTCAATTTTGCATAAGATTCATTAAAATTTTTCTCATTCACTAAAAATTTAATGTTGCAGAAAATATTGAACTTCGAATTAACTTATACTTTAACTAAAGGTTTCTAACAATAAAAATTATTTTTTAGAAAAAATTTTGAAAATGTTTACTATTCTGAATTTTTCAACTCATACTTATAGTAAGTAGCCTTGGAAACACAATATTTTTAAAAATTTATTAATGAAATAAAAATAAAAATGAAATATTTTAAATATATTTATAATTTGTTTATACTTTTAAAATTAATTAAAATTAATAATGCAATCATTGGTGAGGCATTTATCAGGTCTCTTATGTATGGTTTTGTAGAAAATAATGACGAAGTTCAAGAGGTTGCTGCTCAAAATGTTGAAACAAATTCAAATAAACTAAAAAATTGTAATGAAAACCTATTATTGGTACATTTAGCAAAATTTTATATCACTAGCCCTGAAAGAATCATATTTTTAACAACTGTGGAATCAATTGATATCACCTGTGAAAAACTTTCTCAATTTATAAGAATTATTGAAAGAGAGTCGCAAAATTGTATTCGTTTGAATAATGATAACTTGTACTCAAAACTTTATGTATCGGTAATAATTTATTATGAAAATTTTTGTGAAATAAATTCGAAAGAGCTTCAAACTTACAATTATTGTTTGCAAGAATTACGTACCAGTTATATGGATTGTGAAGGGCCACCTGATTGGTATGAAAGATCAAATCAAACAGAAGTATGTGAAATTTTTCTTAAATTAATGAATTGTTACTATGTTTCAACAACGGAATTGTGTGGTTTATATGTTGCGAATTTAATGTGGACATCAACAAAAGATGTATTTGGACCAATTTTACCGGATATATGTAATATGAATGAAGATAGTTCAAAAAATATAAACAGTACGAAAATTTTAAATGAAAATGCAAAAGGTATTCTTCATCCACATGATAAAAAATTTTATATTTTGATGATATTTGCTGGAGCCTTGGCTCTATCTTGTACAATATGTGTTTTTGCTTGTATTTCAAATTGTTGTAAGAAAAAATAAAACTTGTAATTCAAGTTGTGTATTTCAATAATGTCAAAATTTTCAGTTCTATTTGAATTCAGATGTAAAGTCTTGGGTTAAACCATACATAAATTCATTATTTAGACCCAAATCTTACTTAAACTTTTATTCTAAACTAAGCAGAGCGGTTGCTTAGAATTAAACATAAGCGCGTGTCGGTCCTGATTGCCTTCTCCTCTTCATGGAATCAGTTTATGGAAAACTTATGTACGTGATAGGATGCTCTCTAAAAATTTCTTTGCCAAAAGCTACTAACATTTTTATTTTCAAGTTTTAACAAACAAGTTGGAAAAATTTGAAATACTAAAAGTATTAAAGTGTTTGATCAGTCGAATGATTTAGATTATCCGAAAATTTTTTATTTTAAAGCTTCTTCTTTAAGTTTGAAATTTTTTTCTCACATTTTTCCAAATTTACTTTTTATAATCTGCTATAATAATTAAAAGAAAAATTATATCTTGTCGTCATTATTTCGCAATGTTTTCATAAAATTTATAAAATATTTTTATATAGTCAAAGAAATTTAAAACTTCCATTCAGGAACAGATTAAATTTTAAAAGTTTGAATAATAATCTTTGAATAAATTGAAAATTCACTGAATTGAAAATCTTTCTACTAATAATAAAACATGTTGCATGATTAAAAAAATCAAATTGTAAAACAATAAAAAAAATAATTTTGAATTTTTTCGCTTTGAAATCAATGAAATATGGTGTAACTAGTATTTAAACAAATTTTAAATCAATCACTTAAAATTTTTTACTCTTTATGGACTTTTATAGAAAATCAAATATCTTTGTGAAGTCTTCAACATTTTATTTAAAAGATGATTTGTTATAAATTAAATCGGCAGTTCAATAGCATTAAAAATTACATAAGTGAATTTTTAAATATTAGGTAGCATAAATGAAAGTGACAACAACACTAAATCAACAAAAGATCTATGTCATAAGTATTTATACTCATGGTGTATATGGAATTCACGTATGTTAAACGTAACTCAAAATAATTTTGTTATATGAAAAATATATGTGCAAAAATAGTGTATAAAAAATTTTACTCATTCGGGTTTAAAATTACTTTTCGTCTAATATTATATTATTACATAGAAAAGAAATGCAACCGTGATACTTTTTACAATCACACCCGTTCACTCTTTTCGAATTTGTCACATTTTTTGTAAATTACATATATGTCAACTAAATGTAAAATAATTCAAACTTAATTTGCAAATGATGAATTATTATATTTTTTTGGAATTTTCAATTTAATTTTTTTGTTATAATGTAAAAATGCAAACTGTTTGTTTTAAAATATCTATTTATGTTTTATGTACAAAACAATAATTCTTAAACTCTTAATACGTATTGTATATTACATAGGATATTTAACGAAGGGAGTGCTATCCAATCTTTTCAAAATAATGCTTTTGACTCAAAAATGTTTTCTAAATAAATTAATTGGATTACGTACAAAATGTAAACTTAATGTCAACCAGATTCACACGGGTAGGGGGACCAGAGCGATGTGGTTTAATAGAGAAAAGAAGAGGACGAATGTGTTGTTGGAATATAGCATACTGATTGGGTTGCTGACGGAGCAATGCCCCTTAAAGAAAATGGCCAAGAGGTTTAGAATTTCGACGACAGATGTCAAAATATTGCTGAGGATGTGAAGAGGAAGCCAGGGAGGTTAATTGGTTCCGGTAGTTGGTCTTCGATAATATACTCTCTTCAGAAAACGCTATTGAAAATATTAAATTGGGATATCTATAGGTAAATTATAGCCCTCAGACTAATGGGTAATTCAACGCAAATTAATCTAATTTAATCAATCTAATTTAATCGGTTCAAATCGAGCCCTATAAAGTTAAATTATAAAGATAACCATATGTCTCACCTTTTTATACAAAGCTATTTTTGGAAATTATTATTGGTTATAAAACAAACATCTTCAATTGTACTCAGATTTTAACTACTCGTAATATCATCTTCAGAATTCAATTTATTTCAATATTGTTTATCACCTTTCGCTTAATTTTTGGGCAAGTACAGATATGAATGGTATATCATCAATCATTGTATACTTACTTACTGCATCCTAAAACCCAATAATGAGCATACATAAAAACATTATTAATGGTAAAGCTATTCTGCAATTCATAAATTTAAAAATGTTCTCAAATTAAAAGTGGAAAATTTTATTTAAAACAAAGGAATATTTTGATAGATGATCAGATCACATTTTATGTTTCGAAATATCTACATATATTTTCAAAATATGACGACAACAAAAAAAAACAAAAATTACCAGAAAAAACATGTTCGCGGAAACAATAGAAAACATTTTTCCTCTTAATGAATTTCTCAAATAAATTTGCCATAATGCTGTAATAATTTTGTTCATAAACTTTTTTTTTATTCACACAATATTAGAAAAGATGGTAACTAACAAAAATTAATATGCATTTATACACATGTATAGTCAAAATCCGCAGTTGCAGATGTTTATAATCGGCCAACTGCTGCTTTTATGGCAGATATATACGAGTACGTATATCAAAAATATTACGCAGCAAAACTTTAAAACATTTAGTTCCGTTTGTAAAGCAGTCGCTTTATCATATCATAAACGCCAAAGTACATATGTGCTGCACTTTTTTATTTTTAACTTTTATAACAAATACGACATGCCTCAGCGGCATTACAAAGTTTTCGACCACTGCACATCGCATCCGTTCAACTATAGCACTTATGTATATATAAAATCGGCTCGCGTATTGTAAATATTTGCATGAGCTGTAAAATTTCTATTTATCCAATCAAACAAATCTAAGCATATTTCAAATTTTTTAGAAATAATGTATATAAGAGCATCTCGTTTTTCCGCTCAAATTAAAAATTTTAAATGAAAACTGTCATAAAATATGTGAGAATTTTTGATTAATAATATTGACATTTCAGGATATTGAGTATTTATTTAAGCATTTTAATTTTAAAAATTTAAAATCTCTTGCATCTTACCGCCTTTTTCATAGATATATGTATGTATGTCTTTATGTATAGATATAATTAACAATATAAAGAAGAATCTAGAATTGAATTTTATATAACATAAGTGTTATGTGGCAATTGATTTATCTCTTGCATAATTTTTAGAATTAGAGCCTTACACTTTTTGGTATTAAATTGACAAAATTATTTAAATTAGAAACACTTTTAATAAAACCTTGTGTTTACACAACGACTCAAGTCCATTCAAAAAAAATTAAATTTCTGATGTGACCTAAATTTGTTTTGAAAGCCAATTAATATTGAATTCAGTTCAATAGAAAATCTCTTTAGTTAATTAACTTTTGTATTTTATTGCATAAAACACACCTATTTTTTAAATATTGGTAGCCAACAACTTTGAATATCGAAAATTTGTATAATTCACATTGTTGAAGAGTTGTAAATCCAACTGAAAACAACATGAAATCAAAAATATGATTATCTATTGCATAACTTTTATTGGTATCTGTTAAATAATATAAATTGGTCTATATAAAGCAAATATTTTGAAATTTTCAAAAATTTTCAACAATTCTACTCTATCATGTGTCATTTAATTTAACAATTTTATGTAATTTAAACGAATACTCAAAAGCTATTCATAAACCGGAAATTTTCACTTATATTGTTTCAAGTAAAATGTTTTAATTATGGTTTATTCAATAGTTCATATGGTGTAAGAAGAGCTATATGCGGAACCAGGCGCGGGCCAGATGTATTCGTCGCCCTAAGCGGTTCCTAAAAAGTGCGCCCCCACCCCCCTTCAACCGTTTCACCTAATTTATAACTGTGAACAAAATTTAATAGGCATTGCACATTGTGCATCATAAAGCACATTCTTGTAACCTTATTATGCTGAATTATAGATTTAAAGTCTGGAACTAAACTTTCAATTTTTTGTTTTATAAATTCAAAAACAAGATGATTTATTTTATTTGTATGTTTTTTATGAAGTTATGATCAGATTTTAAATCATTTAAACTTGATTTTTTGATTTTAACAACCAAAAATTTACTTTTTGACGTAAGTGAAACTTATTGTAAAAGGTTCTATGAAAATTATATCAAATGAACTTTTTCAAAGCTTATTTGAATATGAAAAAAAGTAAAAATTTTTTTTTATTTGTATTCGTAATTTTAAATTTACGAATAAAATTTGGCTTATTATTTCACAAATCGCCTGAGAAATGAAATAGCGTATAAAAAAAGTTACGACTTGCATTCAAAAATTTAAGGAAAATCAAAGTTTCGTTCTAAAATTTGTGACTTAAAAAATAAGCTTTTTATTAAACAACATTTTTTCAATTCAATATAAGTAGTAGAATTTACCAATTAATATTTAATTCTGTGATTGATAACCGTTTTTTCAAAAACGAAAGCAAAATATACTAGTAGAAATTCATAACGATCATGTAATTTTGAATTTCATTCAATATTTTTTGTTAAACAAATAAAATATTGGTATACACAATCTCAATATCAAGCTATGCATTCCATTATTTAAGAATATTGCTGTTATTCGCTTTTTCTAATTTCTTTCTATTCTCATTCTTAATTTTTGTTTTTTTTTTTGTTCTTGTTGTTTACTAATGCAATAGTATACAGAAAAGTAATACATTATAATAATGTGTTTGTTTGTTTGGTGAGTGGGCGACAACTAAGCATAAATAAAATTTTGCATATATGAAACAATTTAAATGTAATGTGTACGAACGAGTGTAGCCAGGGAGATCACTAAGCATAATAAAACTTTTGCTTTGTAATATAATTATATGTGTACGAGCGAGTGTTGATAGGGAGCAATCTCAGCAAAATAAAAATCTTGCTTTATGAGATAATTATATGTGTACGCATGAGTGTTGACCTTATTCATATTAAACAATATAAATATTATGTGTGCATGTGTATTTTTGAATATTTTTTATT